AAATGATGGCTCTGATCCAAAACCTTTTTCAACTGAGCAGTAACAATCCACACAAGTCCCACATTGAGTCCCACATTAGTATCTATGTGAAGGGCAACTTTGTTTTTCTCAGATTCTCAGAACTTTTTGCGTTTGAACTGCAGACATGCCCCTTGAAAAACAGAGAGATTTATTTATAATTGCCTGGATTTGCAAGCTTGCTTTATTACATTATTTCCTGCCTAGGATTTCTTAATACTGAATAGAAATTATTATGAAAACTTCTTACTTTAGGGCATTTCCAGACTAGCAGGGCTGGAGCAGAACCTGTCATTGCTGGTCCAGTTTTATTTCTGGAAAAATCTGCTAAACTGAGCCAGAGTTCAAGTCCACAAGGGGAACACATGCACTTATAACACTCATGCACGCACTCAGTGGTTAGTTCCAACTCCTGTTGTTGGACTTTTAGCCTGATGCCTTTAAATGACATGCAAACAGTTGATCTGATAAGTTGATAGCCATCTCTTTTCTTGCAGCATCCTGTAAAAATTATTTCGCTGTGTGTCTCAGAGTCAGGAATATCCTTATTTTTGTTTTGTCAGCCTGTGAGCTGTGAAGTGGAGTAAGGGGGGAGGTTTGGGGGAAAGACAGGGGGGAGAGTCAAACTCAGCACGAAGTCTGGGACTTCAGCCTAAAATATAATATGGAATCTTTACCTCTGAGCAGAGCTGTGGAACCTTATGCCAGAAAACAATACAGGCTTGGCCAACTAGGGATTAGCTGTTATTATTCTGGCTTTTTCTTGCTAGACTTTCTATGCTAAATCCATAAGGAGAATAAAAAGTCAGCTCACTTTAAAGGTGATGAAGAAGGTCTGGGCAGGCAGTTGGTACTCGCCTGTGATTTCCTCACTCTGGTACTACATGGCTGACATTTTCCATATACTGAGAGACATCCAGAGCTCTGCAAAATCTGCCTTTACTGCTTTAAGGGCATTTAATTGCAATAGTAATGAGTTTCATAGGAGCACCTTTAGAAACACATAAGAGCTTCATCCAAAATTTATCAAACTTATATAAATACATGTTCTTGATTTTAATGGAGTTTGGATTAGATAGTCAGGGAACTTAATGGAGCTGCTTCTGACATTTTGTGCAGTAACAATGTGCGGTTCAAGCCTCTGACCGCACTTCAGCAACTTGAAACTCAAAAGATTTCAGTGTGGAAAGTCTGTACTTCATTACCCCGCTTTAAGGGGAGGAAGCTTAACAGGTAATAGAAATGAGTATGAAAACTGCTTACTTCAGAACATTTCCAAGCACAGTTTGTTGTAGTAATCCATTTTCCTTTCTAGTGGGGGCTTCCTTCCCAGACCTTTATGAATTGAAAAAGACTTCATCTCCCTAAACCCCCCAGGATATATTGAGATCAGAACTAGAATGCATTGGAAAGGGAAGTTTCTATTCCACAGAAACTTCGTTATTTCATCATTAGATCCAGCTTCAAACCAAGGAGTTTCAAAGCTTTTCAGAGTGAAATACTCACTAGACTTCTGATTTTCAAATGTCCCCCAAACCATTACTCTGAGCTGTATATGGGAGTTCCTTGGCTTACCATGCTGATGAAGCAGTGCCTTCCATGGTGCTTACTTCCATGATGAGGTCCTCAACCACCTCTCGTCAGGTGAATATGCCCACAGGTCAGTGTTTTGGCGACTTTTCTAGTTCTGCAGACCAAGTCAGTCTACTTTTCTTGGTAGCTGGCCTCTCCTAGTGTCTTGCATCTTCAACGTCTCTGATTATGGCCATTTTAAAACCATCCCTCTTTGTTTTGTTCACGTTATGGGTGGATGCTGAAAGAAGAAACCCTTGTTAACCCTTTGCAGATTTTTGGCAAGTGGTGACATATTTTCACCCATTCCATAACCTTTTTCAATGAATTCTCTGCAGCCTTGATGGACAGTGAAAATAATGCTGTGGAAATGACATGTTCTTAACTCATCCAAATTTCTGTTTCTTCCACTCAGAGGCAAAAGATATTGCTCTCATGAGCTGTATATTTTTTTTAGGAGCACTTTAATATTTCCTTGTGTGATCTTTTGCTGTCACAAAAGTCCAGCCTGCAAAATGTTTTCATGTAAGAGCTACTAAAACCTTATGTAAGAGATCTGGAGTAGTGTTTTTCATATTAAAGCATCAGTGACTCCATTTCAAATACTAGCAGTCTTTCTAGTGCATGTAACCTTCAAAAGATGGAAAAATTCCCCTAAGTAATGGGAAGAGGAAGAGGGAAGGAGAAGGAGAAGGAAAAGGTGAAGGAGAAGGAAAAAAGAATAAATTTGGGGATATTTTTTATTTCAGGCATTGGTTAATCACTCATAATTTTTTTAAATTAAAATATTCCATATTCCCAGAGCTCTGCATATCTATTTAGACAGATAATCTAACACAGTAAAGAAAAGACCTCTGCAGAGACCTTGGGAACAAATAGGAAATTCATTTAATTTCATCAAAACTTTTAATTGCATAAAGTTATCTGAGACACAGCCAAATACAGTAAGGTTAATATACATTTTGTACATACCACAGAAATTTTAGAAATCACAAAGGTGATTCACTTTGCTTATACTTCCATTTGAAACACAGCATTTTAACAGAAGAAATATTTTTATGCTGTACTGGTAATGGCTGTCCAACTCAAAAAAAGAAACAAACCATAATTTAACTTCCTTTCGCACCTGAGATTTTCCTGGTGGTTTCCTCCACAAGTTGTGACCTAGCTCCAGATTGCTCAGTTTATAAATTAACTTTAATCGGGTATAGCCTATGGCAACGTGAGCTGATGATTCATAAAGTTAAAAATGCTTTAAAGTAGTAAATGCTGGGATTTTTTTTAATTGGTTACATCATACCTGGATTTAAAATCCTGCCAATTTCCTATCCAAACAGTTCGCATATTCTTTTCAAAATAGGCAAAGGCATAAAGATATGTGTGCCACTCTAAACTGCACTTTTCAGCAGATATGAAATGGAATTCTGACCTTCCTTCTGTTATCTTGGCTCCTCAACAGGACCCTTTTTGCTGTGGGTACTAGTAATCTCTAATGCACTAGAAGGAGAATCTGGTTTGTAGGCAGTGGCATACAGTTTTCAGATCATGCAAATGATCCTTTTTACCCTCTTTTCTACACCGTGGCAGTCATGGAAGTTAAAGCATACCAGTCTGCATATATCAAAGATAGTTATGCTCCTGTAGGAAAATTCTAGAAAAAAAATAGATGGAAATCTTACACAGTACTATGGATACAGTTTGTATATCTGTATTTGGAAGTTTTGTATGGAGCAATCACAGTGAAGATAGGCTTATGTTTGCTTCTGTTTTCTAACCATTATTTGTCATGATGTTTCTAATTTGTTAAAATGTCTCTTGCAGTCTTGGTATGGCTAGCTTTTCAAGGAAATGTATCATTTTTGTGACTGTTGCTTCTTGAGGCTTCATTAATTCCCTTAGAGGGATCATAATATAATGTGTAAGCATAGGAGGCTTGACCCAGTTCTGACCTGGAAGAAGTAGGTAAAATCAAACAAATTTGATGATAGCTTTCATCAAGCTTGAATCTATAATGATTTAAATTAAATTAATTATATTGTCAATATGACATAATCAAGGAAACAGCTATTCTGCAGCTACTAAAATAATGATGTTAGAAATGGGAATTGAATTGCTAAAGGAAAATACTGTTTTTTAAAGACTGCATTTTCATAGACAAATGAAGAGCAAGTGTCAAACCCTGAAGTTTACCTCACCCTAGCAAAGATGTGTAATTCTGCACACTCAGCATTGCACAAATAAGAAATATTAGTCTATGAATGTTTTAATGCACAAGTTACACATACAGCCTTTATGAGTCTTGATGATAAGTGCCCTGTTTGCTCTCATCATTTTCTGGTTCTCAGATTTATCTAAAACTCAGAAATGCAGGAAAAATTAAAGCTAAAAACCACTTTCTTTAAAATTATATGTACATGCTGTTTGCCTAAGAGCCTTAGCACAACCTCATTAGAAGTTATAGACAATTATTTGTTCATTACTTACTCTGAATGCCAGAATGCTAGAAGGCCTTTAATTTTCTAGTACTTACAAAGGTAATTATAACATTGCAAGGACTTTCTTAATTTCTTAGATTTCTATTATTTATGTGAAAAATTCATAACTTGTAAGTAAAACTTAAAAGTTCAAACAAAAGGCTTGCATTAACACTGTGTTAAACAGATAGTCCATTAATTAATTTTAAATGTACTTAATTATAAATTACTATTTGATTCTTCTCAGAATAACAAGGTTTTTGCAAACTGAGAAACCTAGTTTATCTGTTCAACTCTCAAAATTTTTAACTAAACAATTTGCATGTAGGAAAAACCCAGTTTAAGAGCAGGTAGTTATATTTATGCAATGACTCTCAATTCTTTTGTTGCAACCATTCCAGCCTTCTTTATCAGATCTTTTGCAATGTCTGAACACAGGCACTGACAGTGTGGGATGGGATTATTGTCAAACATAATTAAAACCACATGGCTTTCCCAGCTGCATAGCAGGTAAAATTTCAGAGCTGTGTTGCTATTGATCCATGCTGCTCTTCACTTTTATCTATCAGTCTGCTTCCTATCTGTCTTTTTATCTGTTTCAGGCATTTTTCTTTGTGAAACTCTAAGAAGAGAAATTTCTGACAGGACTCTGACCAAGAAATGTCCACAATGCCCTAAAATAACAACCTCCAACACTACTCTTTTCTTTCTCTGAACTGCAAAAGCCATTGAGTACTAACTAACCTGTTCCCTATCTCTCACCTGACTTCAGTGCACACTGCCAGCCAGATTTGCTCATCCTCTTTGATTGCTAAGGTACTTTATGGCCCTCTAGAGATGTTAAGAGAGAAATTTAGAGTAATTAGTTGCAGAGATGGATTGAGCAGTCAGTCGGTAAGTGCTCACGTTGAACTGCACATCTTTCTTTCTTGCCAGATTGTTGGCTGTGACCACCAGCTGGGAAGTGCTGTCAAGGAAGATAACTGTGGGGTCTGCAATGGAGATGGGTCCACCTGCCGGCTGGTTCGAGGCCAGTATAAGTCCCAGCTCTCTGCAAGTAAACGTAAGCTGTTTCTTCTGGTAGAGTGCCACCTTCCCCTTTTAGTGAAGTTTTCATTTTCTGCAGGCTAGATTTCACCCCACTCTTTCTTGGGTACCTGAGTAATCGTGTTCAGCCTAGTTGTCCCCACAGGTGCTTGCCTCTTCAGTTAAAGCAGCCTTGCTCAGACTGCTGGTCAGGTTATGGGGGTGGACAGAGGCTTGTGGAAAGGTGTCCATCAGCACATTGCCCATCTCACCTAGCTAGTTGCTTGTGAAGAGCAGGAGAGCAGGAGGAGGTGGCTCTATTGGCTGGCTGTGCACAGGACTTAGTGCACCCTGCTCTGGACAGAATGGTTTCTGTTGCTCTACAGCAGAGGGAAACCCTGAGGGGCTGGTGCTGCCAGCCTGGCAGACTGCTGTCTCCAAGGCCTCGTAGCATCACGTGTGTCTGCATGCTCTGCATGGTGCCCAGTTCTCCAGGGACCTGAGGAGCCAAAGTTGTCAGAAAGTGCCGACACAGGCTTGAGAGAGATGTCTACAGAAAAACATGGCCTTTCCTCCATGCTGACCCAGCTTACCTGAGAGTGGTAAAGTAGCGTTAGTGTCCCTCAGTGAGGGGGTTAGTTTATTCTGAACCCCAGACAGACTTTTTTCAATCTGTTTATAGCACCACAGATAGAGCCATTAAACTTTTAGGATGGGAGATAGGGTCTGTTCTGTCAGTTTGAAGGAAGGATTGAAAAGTATGTGTATTTGCATGTCTATGTAGACACACCTAAGGAATCACATGTGCTAGCCTGAAAACCTCCAGCCTTAGAGTTTAATCATACCAGTCCTACCATTCTGGAGCAGCTTTGCAATTGATGAATAGCACATGACTTTAAAGATTCAAATAGCAGTGTAATATCTGTTGATGACAGTGTGTGTATACTGGTGGGTTTTGCAACAGGGAAAGCTGCTTTTTACAAAAGCTTCTCTCAGTCAAAGAGTAACTGCATTGGTGTGGAGCATATATAGTGTATATGGAGCTATGGCACCCAGAGCAGCTGATAGCGCAGTGCAGGTGTGGCTCTGTGTTTGCTGAGGGAAGGGAAGGGAAGGGAAGGGAAGGGAAGGGAAGGGAAGG